GTTGTCATCTTCAGTGCAGGGGGATGAGTACAACACATTCTCTCAGGTCTCCGTCTTAAAAACTTTTCTCCCGTCACCACTGAGCAGACGTTTCCTCACAGACTCATTGGAGGACTTCTTCTGTGCTTTTGGTTGAGGATTCCTTGTCATGCTAAAATTACTCCTCAGTGGCGCTTGAGCAACCTGGCCCTTGGTGTCACTGAGATGTTGTTCTGCTGTGTTGTTAAAATTACTTAAAAGTTAGACAGCTCTTCCCTGCTCCGGGTTTTATCACCTTCCTCAGGTAGCCATCCTCCTCTCAGTCTTAGAGTTACATTTACAATGGACCTGTGTTGGATATTATAGTCACTGAGACAGTGACCATCCTTCAGCTCCCTGCCTCCATAAATAATTCTCTGTTGATCTGAAACAGACATAAACTAAAAGTTAAAATCAGGCACCAAAAGTCAAGAAAGGCTAATAATTTCTAAAAACTGAAAATACTTTTTCATTTACAATTTGTAAAAAAACATCAAAAAAACCAAACAAAACATCTACTTGCAATTATGTGACCTGTGTATTTGGTGTTCGCCCAGAGGCCTGTACTACGAAGCAGGATTTCATCTTATCCACGTAACTTTCTATGCTATAAAGCTCAGTCGCTTCTCGGATTGTCATGGTAACCATGGTTACCATGCTAGGGTCGTGCTGTGAATGGTTAGATCAGCAGGTATGAAATCACTGCCCGGTACCAATCAGATCTCTGGAAAACTCCATCACCATTCCTGGAAGATCTCTTTTTTTCTATCAGATATCCTGAGTTGATTCAGCTCAGGATATCTGATGAATACTGAGGATTTATAAGGAAAGAGAAAATGTAATGACTTTAGTCTCTACTGATTTCACCTAAAAAAACTTGCAAATGATCCTTAAAGCACTGCCACATGTTAAATGACAATATTGTGGGGTCTGTTGATAATTATATTCAAAGTTATATATAATGGATGTGACTTAAGTATCATATCTCAGCTCAAGAATGATCAAGAATATGAAGTTTGTTCATAACAACTTGCATATGTAATTCCTGAAATATATAAATACGCCTGTATAGACCTGCGTGCTGTAAAGAACAAGAAATTCATAACAGGTTATTTATTTTAATACAGGAAAATCCGAAATATAAATATATCTCAACGACCTGTCCTTCTTCAACACTGGGGTAGATTGCTGAGCTTGCAACTAAACGCACCACGTAAACCTACTGAACGACAGTGCAAACTGATTAGAGCAGACTGTGTGAAAGCAGGGCGCTTTTGCATAAAAAACAAATCATGTAACACCTGAAGGAGTGGGTGGATAGCAGTTTTTCTAACACTATGTGTAAGGCAGTAATCTGTAACTGTTGAATGACCGTTTTAATCACAACCATGCAGTGTATTAGTAGCGATTTCAGACCTACCGGGGGGAGTTCCGTCTTTCTCCTTTATTCGAAGCTTTAAACTCTCAACAGTATCATCGCTCTCCACTTCAAGCTCAAATTTAGATCCGTTCACCGTTATGACCGTAATCGTGAGCGGCATTTTCGCGACGCTTCTTTCAGACCTTGTACTTTAAGTTTCCAATAATGGGAACTATCGTTCGAGTGGCCCTGTGTACAAAATTTGACGCGCTTCTTCTTCTTCTTCTTCTGTTTTTTTGTTTTTTTAATTAAACTTTTAGGTGTATTACCGCCACCTTCTAGAGTGGCGTATGGATCAGAAACTACAGTAGCGCCATTATATTCTTTCACAAGTTTAAAAATAACAAAAACTATAAATATTGAGAAATAATTCCCTTATCCTTAAATGATTCTTGTTCTATAAGAATATAGCATATATATGAATATGTGCTCCATTTCTGTGCAATAATCACAATAACCTGTTGCACATTTGTTAATTATTCTTTCCATTTCTTTGGTAGTTCTCCTTCTTCCCACATCTTGTAATATACTCTATCAATATTTCCTAACTTGCATCACTCAGATTATTTAAGCATGCAATAACTGATTTGATCTGTACCATGGATGTTTTTTCCCAGATTTCTTTAATGCCTTGTTTAATTCAAAAAAGAAAAAAAAATTTATATGAATTACATCCTCATTATTTTCTTAATCATGAAGTATTTTGATATTTCTCTTTAATGTTGTTTCCCATCCTGTTTTTTCTTTGTCATAAAAGTTGTCTGTAGGGGAGACCGGGGATAGTTGTAACATTTTTGACATTTCTGTCTGTAAATTGAAGCTCTTTTAAGGTAGTGGATTCAAAATGTAATGCAAAGTATTTACATGTCTCTGCTATTAAACAAATTACTTTTTTTCATGTTAAATTGTCTGTGTTTGACAAAATGTGCTGATTTTTCACATGTGATAGCAGAACTGAATTGGGCATGCACAGGATGAGTCACATCATTTGAAACTTAGCCCTGATTGGAGAAATTGGAAGTGTTACAACTGACCCACGTTACAACTATCCCCGGTCTCCCCTACATAATAGATAAAACAGATTTCTATTATTTTCAGTCATCTATCTATTATTGCTGGGAAGTAATAATCTTTTGAATTACCAGACTTAGGTTTAATTGTACACTGAACCCTGCCTAATGGTGTATTTTTACCCAGTAATTCACAGTATTTTCTCCAATAAAGATTTTTACTGTCTTAATAACCCTTCGAACCTCTGCTTGTTTCCATATTTTCTGTATATATTTTTATGTTTTGAAAACCTCATTCCGTTGTTTTATTGCTAATGTACATTCTGCTTTCCACCTTGGTACTTTCCTCACAAACCACCTCACAGACACCTCAATTAGAGCCAAGCCTCACTCTCCATCACCACCACCATGAAGACTCAAAGGGGTCCTGTCCTAAATCCTATCACCGCTCGGATTCTGTCTGCCATGATGGGTCATCATACATTAATTTCTCTGTCTCAATAAATAATGTTTAAGTGATCTCTCCTTATTGGCAATGGACAGATGCAGGGATATTAATCGTCACACACTTGTGCAGTAGAGGATGAATGTTGTAGACAGAATAAGACGGCTGATCAAGTTGTTTCACTAACTCATCTAAACTAAGCATTTTGTAGAGGATTAAGCAGCCTTGGCAGTTGTTTGACTTGAAATGGCAACTGTAATCTCAACATTTTGAAAGCTTGTTTTGAAACTATAGAGTGGAAAGTTGAGATTTTGTGCTACAATGCAAAGCATAAAAGTAAAAACTAGTGAGAAGTAAAGGAGTAGTGAAGTAACTGTACTTCATTTCTTTTTTATTTCTGACAGCTGTTAAATGTGGAAGACAGTATCTTAATTATGTGTCTTATTGGTAACTTAATACAAAAAACACCCTCAGGAGAAATGTATACAATTAGCTTTATTTTATGATGTTACACACTGGAACATCCACTGATTGTAAATTACATGTAACTGCAAAAATACAACTGCAACTAAATTAGAAAACCAATTTAATGCCATTTATAAAATAAACACATATCTGAACTATATTCATTTAAAAAGGCGTGCTGCACTCTTAGCTTATATGCACAGACCTTCAGACAGTTATCCTTGTAACGCTGAGGTAGGCGCTTCAAGTTGTTAGGTTTTGCAAAGAGGCCACTGAGTGGTGCTCCATTCCTGCAGTGCGCAGGCTGACCTCATGGCAGCAAAGGTCACAAGGTCATGATGGATGGTTGAGCCAGGTGCTCCAGCGCCTCCCCCTCGCAGCGCATGCAGTGGTAGCCCATGGTACCAGTAACATCAAAGCAGCCCTGGCTGAGGTAAAAGTCCATCGATGGTTTGTTCCAGTTCAGGACGGTGAAGTTGAGCTGGTGGCAACCAGCAGCCAGAGCCAGCTACAGGAGGGCAAAAACAAGAAGGAAGACAGGAATGACTGCTGAGCTGAGATGACGCATGGAGGCTTCTTCTGTATGCTGCCTTTGGGACACTGGCTACTATGTTTTCGTGCAAATATTGAAAATAAAAAAAAGCTTCAAGGTTTATCTTCTCCATTATTCACAGTTTCACTCACCTGTGCCACCTTGCTCATTAGTGCTTTACCGACACCTTTCCCTGAAAGACAGATCACGTGCATTACTTGAGATTTCCTGCAAATATAGGGTCACAAATGAGACATCTTCTCAGAGGCTGTACTGTACCTCTGAACTCAGGCATCACATACAGGTCCTCCATATAAATGGCTCTGCCTGACCAGGAGCTGTAAGCATAGAAATAAAGTGCATAGCCGATTTCCGTGTACCCTGAAAGAAGAAAAATATCTACTGGTAAAAACAGTCGACATTTAGAAGAAGCTAAATCGTGTCTGTATTCATAAAATCTGTATATTTGTTTTGCCGTTCCTTCCAACTGATTGAATGACTCTGAACATTTATCAGAGTGATTATTAACAGCATAATGCTTTACTTTACACTGTAAACACATAAATATGTATCATTTCCTTTACATCAGTGAAAAAAATGATACAAATTTTGGTGCAGCTCACAGTTAATGTGCAGCAAACTTTATAAATAAAACCTCACATTTTTAACCTTTTGTTAAAAATCTGCCCTTTTTTTTTGTTTCTCCTGCTCGCCCACTCTGTCGGTTATTTTCACTTACTTTAAGGGTTTTGTCACATATGGGTTCATATGTTTTTTTAAACACTCAACCACCAGTTCTAAGTTTGTTACAGCTGTTAGACAGTAGATCGCAACAGTGTGTGTGAAAACTGGGCGTAACATGATCACCTTCTTTGGTTTTGTGCTGTTCTGGCACCTCAGCGATGATCCCGTGAAAGAACGGGTTCTTGGAAAAGCCATCCTGCTCCAAGTCTGAAAAGAAATTATAGATACTGTTACACGGTGTTTTCACAAGGGGAAATTCAGTTTACATTTAACAGTTTGAGGCTTTTTATCAAAATGTAATCTTAGCTAAGAGAGAGCTTTAAAACCAGTTCTTGACCTTTTGTTGGAAAATACAGTGCAATGGTTTTTCCTCAAAGGTCCATAATTCCTCATTTTAGAATGAAGCTTCCTGGGAAAACCTGTTACCTGGTGGTAGAAACAAATGGCTCACAGACAAATACTTTATTATAGTGTGAAAAATCTACTTAGCTTACACAAATATAACTAAACAACTAAATTTGGGGTAGCTGTTGCTCAGGCGGTAGAACAGGTCATGTACTCATTGGAAAGTTGATGGTTCGATCCCTGACTTTCCCAAGTCTGCATGCCAAAAATCCTTGGGCAAGACACTAACCCCAAATTGCTCTCCGATGCATCCATCGGAGTATGCATGTGTGTGAATGTTAGTTAGAAAGCACTAAATAAAAATGTGCTTGTGTGTATGAGTGAATGCACAAGTTGTACAAAGCGCTTTGAGTGCTCATAAGAGTATAAAAGCGTTATATAAGAACCAGTCCATTTACCATAAACACCAAACTATATTTGATCCAGATACTTTTTGGTTAGAAGTGTGTTTTATCTGGATGTGCATTCCCACTTCAGCTCCTGGCAGAAACTCCAGCTGTGGTCGAAGCCCACATTGCT